AAATCGAATCTTGATGAGTATATATTTTTCCATGAATGAGTTGGTGGTATTTTAGTAAAGTTGTGAATCTAGGGTTGGGTTTGGACCCCATTAAGCCATGCAAAGACATAAAGTCAGGATCTTTATGACTTAAGACACCCCTTAGATGTTATATCAATGATTTGGAGAATTTGGTCTTAAGCATTAAGTGCTTAAAGTGAGAATTTGCCATTAGGAGAGTACGTTGGGCGTACGTATGTGTACGCTCAATGTAGTGCATTGATCCACCAATTTCCTCGTTGTGATGGATTATACGTTGGGCGTATTAATGTTAGTATGTGGGGAGTACTCACCATAGGTTCTATTGGGCCATTTTTGGTCTTTGGATCATTTTGGGTTTGCTCCACGATTTCTTGGGCCATATATGGGAAGTGTAAAATGGTCTTTTAACCTTTAGTATGATAGAATAAGAATTGGACCTTTTATTATTGGTTATTACCCTAGTTATTAATTAGGATTTAATGTAGATATGTGAGAATTCGTGGTAGAAACTGTGTGTGTATGATTTGTTGACATATGATTGAGGTGAGTTTCTTCACTGTACTTATGGATCAAAGGCAATAATGCCAACCTACTGGAATGTGTTATGTAAAATGCTAGTTATCTTTGTGACTCTAGCATTGTATGTTAGGCTAGTCCCATAGACATGAAAGTAGGGTTAGGCTCAGTGTATGAGAGGGCGGGACCTATTGTATGTTAAGTTAGACCTATTGTATGACTGGCTAGGCCCATATGTATGATGGGTTGGGCCCATTTTTTAGGAAGGGCTAGGCATGTTATTATGGTTTGGGTTCAATGTGCTAGCTAGGCCCAATGATATGCATAATATGTAGTATTTTGGGGAACTCACTAAGCTTTGTATTAACGGCTTATGTTTATGGTTTCAGGTACTTCCGGTTCAAAAGGAAGGTGCTCGACGTAACCTCACAACATCCCCCAATGTTTTCTGCATTAACTATTTATGGCTTTTACTTTGATGTTTAAATAATATAATCACTTTGTTTGGGTTTGGAACAGCTCGTTGTATGGTTTTAAGTGTTATAAAATAAAAATTTGACATTGGGTTTTTGGGACATTACATGAGCATTGGCCATTTCTACTATATAGGTTTCCCTAAGTTTACCAGATGGATGATTTAATAATTTCCGAAAATCAGGGGTAATATAGCTCCTATCGACACCATAATTGAAAAGGACGTTTGCATATAGATTGTTAATTAGGTACTTACCAGTGACCATAGTTGGGTCATGGGCAACATCCTTTTCTCCTGTAACAAATTTTGTTCCTCTGGCATTTCCTTCTCGTCCCTTCAACTTTGGGTAGTCTCTCTTGTAATGCCTTACCTCCCCACATTCATGACAAGCTCTGCTTCCTGCTACTGTTGTGGCTCCTTGGTTTCTCATAGGCTCTAGTGCAAGTTTTGGAAATCTACACCTTTGAGCAAGGTGGCTCTTCCTACCAAAATTGCTACATATCGAACAAGAACCGTTGTGATGATAACGACACTTGTTACACTTTGGACTACCCCCCCACATACCGCATCAACAAGGTAGTCTCAGTTGTTGTTGCTATAATCACATATGTATGAATTGCTTATAGCTTCTTCTCTGACGATGGACTAGCCTTTCCCATGGAATCTCTTCCATCCTTCCGTTTGTTACTCCTCACCTTTGAAAGATTAGCCTTTTGGACCATGGTGCCACGGCGTATCTCTTGGTTCGTCGGGCTGAAGGCCAGCCTTTTGGCACTATCATAGGTGGTCGTCTTAGAGGTAGTAACTAATCTCTCAATGGGCTGGGGCAAAACCCTAATGTATCTTTCTACCTTATTGTATTCCAGAGTGACCATTCTGGCCCACAAGGCGTTCACATCAGCTTCTTTCATCTCCAAATATCCATACTTCTTGTTCCAACTTCTGCATCTCCTCGCGTGGACAATACTCTTCTATCATGAGCTTCTTCATTTCAGTCCAACACACGACATTAGCATTGCTAACACCCATCGTCTTCACATAACTATTTCACAAGGTGAGGGCTACATCTACTAGGGTGCAAGTAGAAAACTTCATTTCATAGTCCTCCGCACAAAAGCTAATCTCAAAGACATATTCCATTTTCTCTGTCCAACGAATTAAACCTACTGCACCTTCATTTTAGTAGAAGGATTTCGGCTTGCAGTTCATAAAATATTTATAATAACAGGCCCTAAGTGGACCTCAATTGTCTTCTTGGGAAATCTATCCTCCAGTTCTAGCTCTTGATCCTGTATTCTTATTTGCTTCGAAATTAGCCATAACAGTGGCGGATCTTTGGGATACTAACACTTCGACAATATATGGGTCCATAGGTATAGGATCTAGGTTATTCTAGGAACCTGTTTGGTTTTGATTGGCTTTTGTACGAGGAATGATTCTAAATTAACATTAAGGTGATTGTTAGATATTAGGATCCCTTGATCGTTTTGGTTAGTAATTAGCGGTGCTTAGAAATATTTGAGCATCGCAAAAATAACAATCAAGTATGTTTGTTGTATCTCACGCAATCATTTCACAATCCAAGATATTCATTCATGAAACACATATTTACATATATTTGTTGGATTTGATGTCTAAGCCCATAACTATAACTCGGATGTACTTGACCCGATTGTAGCATGGTCCTTTTGGGTTGCCTTCACCAGTGCAATTTGATAGGATGGACTTTTGAGAATAAGGTTATTATTAATATATTATAAGTATAATATATTAATATGAAATCATATTATTTAATTGGTATTGATCAAGAATTAATTTGGAATTAATTTTGTGATCAAAAGAGACCAATTAAATATATGGGGATTGATTGTGCAAATCAATAGATCTTATAATGTGGGGTAATGATAATGGTTATTTAGGATGGGCTAAACCAATGGGATAACCCATGGATAGTCCATGGAGGTTAACGCATGGAGCCTAACTAATATGAAAGTTCATTAGGGTTTACAAGGTGTAACCCTAGAATTTGTAAACCATAGAATTTTCCACATTATAAATAAACCCCTTAAGAGCCAAAATCGGTTACATGAGTTGCCACAATATTCTTGGAGAGTGTGTGATCATTTTTTGCTAAATAACTTATTCTATCAAGCCTCCTCTAGCATATTGGTTTTTTAGAGCCATTAGAGGCATCACACTTGAGGTGCTCAAGCTTTCAAAGGTCAAGAACTACAAGTCCTTCTAAGAGGTCAGGCTGACTAGTTGTATTGTTCATTTGAAAATTTGTATGCTAGTTAGAATACATGCTTTGGAAAATTGAAAACATGCATGTATAATTAGAGAAAACATAGATCCAAAGCATTTAGGGTTGCATGTGCACAATAGGAGTGTTATAGTGCTCAAAACCCAACAATATTAACATGGTTTTTATTACAAGTTCAACTTTATACAACATTATCTTTCAGAATCACGCAAAAGTGTGTGGTCTGAATAGGAAAACCATCTATTTTACATACAAAAGATATGACAATATACTACTATCTTCCTACAACTTTTCCATCCTTCAAACCCTAAAATACAGCTCCTAGCTTCCCAACTAGAGCTACCACCAAATCCCAAAATATACAACCACCAATGCTACTAACTATGCCATCTTATAATGAAGGTAATTGATCATCACCTCTTAGGTGACTATCCTGAACTCAAATATTATTGCCCACTGCTATAACTCCTCCACGCATTATTCCAATACTCTTATCTCAAGCTTCTATAACTAAATCTGATCATGAGCCTCCTCGATATGATCATATGCATGAAGGACTCTCATTTATTCAAAATATTGTCCCTACTCGAGCTCACGAACTCTGTCAATCAACAATCTAACATCCTTCCTCAATGACCAGATATCCTCCTTTATGCGATGAATGTTATCCATATGTCGGGCTACTCATGGAACCAATAGGGATATCTGTTGGATTAGTGTCTAAGTCCATAACTATTTTGGTATGTACTTGACCCGATGGTGCATGGTCCATTTGGGTTGCCTTCACCAAAGCAACTTGACAGGATGAATTATGGAGAGAGAGGATTAACTATGATTTATTAATATATTATGAGGATAATATATTAAAGGAGAAATCATATTGTTTAATTAATATTAGTCAAGAATTAATTGATAATTAATTTTGTGGCTAAAAGAGATTAATTAAACTTAAGGGACTGGAACTGTAATTATAAGATAATTGCATTTGGGCTATGGATTACTTAATAAGATATAAGTTGGACGAATTCTATGGGGAAGCCCATTAGAAATCGTCCAAGGGATATACCAAAGGAATCCATGGGCTGCTTAGGGCTTAAGCATTCATATTAGGGTTTCCTAGTTTAAAACCCTAATAGCCTACATGTATATATAGTACCCTTAAGCCCCAAAAACGTGGCCAAGAGTTTCCTTAGGGTTTCCACACGTTTTTGGGTGCCTCCTCTCTTATCATTCTTCATCCTCTTGCTCTTGATGTTTGTGAGCCATTAGAGGAGTGACACTTGTGACCCTAAGCTTTCTAAAGCCATTACAATTAGGATTTGAGTTGTTATTGCAATATAACAACAAGAGGTATGTAATCTAATCTTCTTGGTGAATTTCGAAAATAGTATGATTCATTAGGTTTCTTTTTGTGTTCATAAAGTTGTATAACTAATAGTGAAAACATAGATCCAATTCTAGGGTTGCATGCACACATAGGATTGTTTGTATTAAACCCATCAATATCACCCTATCGTTCGAGTTCTCTTGGATAGGATCTTGTAACGGTGCGTGAGATGACTCGCCTACCTCATAAAATCCAATTATATCATCCTCAATCCACTCATAATTTCGAGGATTCCATCTATTGGTGGGGCAAGGCCTTTTCGAGGCTCTAGGTAATAATGGAGGTGATGTTGCTCTCTTCTGGGAGGGTAAGGAAGTGGATTTCCTAGGGGTACTCTTTCAGCACGGACCTATGACACACATACTAAATGACTGGTGAGAAGGTGATGATGTGGATGATAGAACCTCTACTGGATGTAAAGGCTCTGAGTCACTCTCCCTCTCTATCTCAGTGTGATGTGCAGGGTTATTACTAGATGATGAATCATGATACGAGGAACTATTCGATGGAACCTCGTCATTCGCTCCATTGGGTGACTCCTCCTCCTTGAATGGCTCATCCTCCTCGGACTCCTCCTCCTCCTCGAATAACTCCTCAGGAGATATGGGTGAAGGAGGCACCGGCATCCATGGGTCATAATCGTCATCTAGATCTAGCGTGCGAGGTACTACCTAGTCTTCTTTTGGTGGGGGAAGTACCATCCAAATACCCATGTCGGCCATCTATCTACTACGAAACTACACAAGACATCAAACATGTTAGATGGTTATGAGAGGTAGCATAGGAATACATATAATATTTAATTATAGTATATAATAGATAGTATCCGGTCTCTTTTGACTCTCTCTACATAGGTATGTTAGATATAGAACTCTACACCATCAATCCATCTAGTCTCAAAAGCAAAAAACAAAACTAGACATCGAATCTTTGAGCAGTAAGTCTCTATGTAATCCTCAAATCAACTAATCGAACTAAGCTATCGATCCATAAATCCTCAAGCATTTAGAGTGTCAACTACCACATCTAGGTTGAGGCGTGCATCGGTCGGACCATAATAAAACTTAGTTGCGCATTCTAGGTAAGTTGTGTTACGGCCGTTGTACTGTACTAACCCTAGGTATTGTTTTTTACCTAAAATATTGAGTTGTGATTTATATGGATGTTCTTTATGATATTTAGGTGTATTTATAAGAGTTTGTGTAACTTTATATCTAATTATTGTTCGATTAAAGGTATTTTATCAATTCTACGTTATGTTCTTCAGGACTATCAAGTAAGGATTGACCAAGTGAGAAGTTTCTGAGAACGAAACGATTTACCATATAGTTGTTCTGAAATCCAGCAACCCGATCGATAGTTCAAACTATTAACCTGTAAATGCCTTAGGCTTCAAGTGAATAGGTTTTAGACCCTATTGGATGTTTATAATATTGGTTATGTGTTCTAAGTCCTTGGTTTGTGTTTTGGAGTCAAAGGGTAAGATGGGAAAAGTGATGTTTTAGACTTCTTTCATGAATTAAGGATTTTATTTCATTATGTTTTTAGTCAAAAAGTGATCAGATATAATTGTGGTTCTCTTCAATACCTTTCCGTACATATAAAGAATGCCAAAAACAGAGTTGAAACGAAGAAGTTATGATTGTTTGAAGTTGAAGTGGAAATTAGGGGTTTTGTCTTATGCATGGCATAGGAAAGTTATGCAGGGCATAGTAGCTACGTAGGGTGTAGGAAAGTTACACAAGGCGTAAATGCTAAAATATTGGATGTAGGTTTAATAACCTTCGCATGGCAGAGGTTATGCTCTGAAAGGCATAATCACGACATATCAAAACCCTGATTCTTATGTTTTGAGCCCTATTAAATGGATCTAACTTATGGGAAACCCCCTCATGACTAACCTCCATCACCTAAGATCATTCCTTGAGAAACCCTAGCCTAGTCTTACTTGTTTTTAATCCTTGACATCATTTATGAGCTTATTTCTCAATTGGAAGGTTCAATCTTGAAGAGTAAGGTCGTGGCAAAGTGTATAGAAGAAGGGTTCAAGTATAGATCCAGCAATGTTACTACATTCCTGGACCATTGTAATAGTTGGTAAAACATAGTCAGAGTTCAGCGGTCAAATAACCGTGATACCGCTATGTATTAAGGACCAATTATGTGTGATTTTATGTTTATAATGTATATTAAAGATATTATAGTCATAATTACTTTCGGAATGTCACAAACTGTTCAACAAACCGTCCATCATTGAGGATCGCATCAAATATCAATAAAAATTAATTCTATTTGTGACGTTAAAAATAAAATTTTTAATTAAGTATAATTGATCATTATGGATAAGAAATTTGAATAGATTACGTTCTCCAGATTTCGTGGATACAAAGAACATCCAAAGCGGATATCATATGAGAAAGTTATGCCTCTTTAAAATTATAAATATCAGTATTTATCTTATTTTCCTGAAACGAACTGCGCACTGCTTCGTTTGGAATTGATACGAACCTCGTAAATTGTTTTTTAGCATGTTTTTGAACTCAGACTAGGATCTATTATTTTATTGCATTTTTATCAAAATTTTAATTTCGACCAAAATCATATTTGTAAAATCTGACGAATATGAAACAATTAATCGTGAAACTTTAGACGTTGACTCATGGAGTTTGGTATATCATAATTGCATTTGGTCTGAGTTTCTGGATTCACAATAATTGAGCCATTGAGCAGGCACTTTCCAAATTTTTTTAATGAAATGGTACGATGGTACGAGAATCGAGAATCAAGAATCATGATTTAACCATAAATATACATTAAGCAGATATTAACCCCAAAATATCTTATAGAAAGTCAAATCTTGAATTTCAATAATGCAGAAAAACTAATATGAGAAGCTGCATTTCTTTTTCTTCCATTGCATCTCTAGTCTCTCTCTCTCTCTCTCTCTCTCACACACTCTCTTTCTCTCTCTCTCTCTCTCTCATTCACTCTTTATCTATATATCTTTCTCCCTGTACGTCTCGTACTCTCTCTCTCTCTCTCTCTCTCTCTCTCTTTCTCTTTCTCTCCGTGTGTCTCTTTCTCTCTTGTTTTCATCCTTGCCGACCAAAAATGATGTTTTCGGCCACTTTAGTTGCCCCTCCGCCTCTCCACCTTAGTGTAGCATCAGCCAGATGCCTCCCTTCCCTAACTGCAACTTTCGGTCGATTCTAACAACCTCTAATGAGGTGTCGCTGTGGAGTGAATCATGTTGGAAAACCGACCTCCCTTCCTTCGTGTTTTATGTCGGATGGTATTGTGACAACCAATAACTATTAGAGCAGCCCTCGTTGATGAAGCAACTGACAACAACCTCTCTCCTTCCTCCATTGTTACTGTAGATCATAAAAACAATCCAAACGCCGTTGTGTAAGTTGTTTCTACCCTCAAACATCAGATCGGCCCTGACGATGGCCAAATCGAAGTTGAAGGCGGCCGGAAATCAACCACCCCTTCTCGTGATTTGTAAACCACCACCGGACCATTGTTTTTGCTACTCCTATTCGTCTCCTCATGCGGTGATCTTGTTTCCTTCCTGATCACATGAGGATCGACAATCTTCCACCCATATCATCCCCTCCTCATGATCTCTCTTCCCTTCCTTATAATTCAATTAACCACCACTGGAGCTCCCCATCGACTTACAATGTTGTACCTTTCCCAATCGTTGAAGGCGGAGACCCTTATTCCACCTTTTGTATCGTTTTGGCAAAACCATCCCTTATCTTTCTTAAATGATTAGTTGAGCCCCTGCCTTGATAAGTTGTTACAAATAAGCGATGGTTTGTATTATTTTGCCTAATAAAACCCTCATTTGAAATAATTGATCAAAATTAGTCCCTTGTGCTAGACAATTACAAAAAAACCCTATTTAAATTTAAATTATTTCATAACAAGTCCCTTTACTTCAAAAGACATCAAAATGCGGTTTCTCACATGAAGTTTCACCCAAACCGAGCCTAAATCAAGATCACGCATCGAACGAGAGTTTCTATGACCCCTCTTTTATAGTTTTAATATTTGGGAGAGAATACTTGAGTGTCTATTAAAGTTTTTATTATTTACAAGTTTTATACACAAAATGGAATCATACTTTACTATTGGTAAAATGTTTATTAAATAGTGATCTGAATTGTATAAATCATCAATAAATCATATAATTTATAGTAGAATGCAATAAATGATATAAGTACACTTTGTTGTGATATATTAATTAATATTAATAAAAATCACAAGATTTTAAGTAGATTGCTATAAAGATATAAGTTATTCGACGAATCATTAATTATAATACTCCTCGTATATATATGCACTAATATATTGAGAAAACATGAAAAGATATTATACATATGACCAAATATGATATTCAACATAATAGTGTACAAAAAGAATGTGCATTGCCTTAAACAATTGATAAACAAAGATTGGAAAAATACATAATAATTAATTGATAATATACGAAAAACCAATTATTATTATTATACTCTATCAATCATGTAGAAATGATTTCTAAATAAACGATATATTTTATTTTTATAGTTTCTATAAAAAAATATATATAAATCATTTTAGTTATAATAAGAAATTCGTCAGATATGATAACATAATTGATACTCATATTTTAAGAATTGTTACCTAATAAATTATACATTGTATAAATTATGAAACTTATCGAATATTATGGAAATAGTTGGATTTCACGTTGGTTGAAAACTAGAAAATGTTATAAAAATAGTCATTAGGTTGTCCGAGTTTCGTCATGACACACAATAAGATTTAAAAATATATTAAGTCTTACGAATCTCAAATAATAAAAGATGTAAATTAAAATCATTCCTAAACATCAAAGAATTATAAGTATTCTAAACTCTTATATCGGAGAGCTTAGGATTAGGATGCCTAGACTTATTGTTAGGTTCCATCGCACCCACTGGACGCTCTATGTGAATTATGACCTAGGATCATTTTCTAATCTATGGGCTATGTTATAACTGTTAATCTGGGAGTGATTTATAGTGTAAATCTAAGCACAAGGTATAGATTTATAATAAAGAACTTTTGTGTGGATCTATTATATATGGTAAAGATTTATACGAGTCAATAATATCCGTCTGTGGTTGCTAGCTATAACTTCGTCTGAAGAAACTAAACAGGTGTCAAGTGTTCTTTCTTTGTTACTAATTGACTATTCAAGGTGTTAGTAATGATCCATATACCTCTATTTCTTGTGCTCTTAGGGGGCAGGAACGTTAATAGTGTCGGTTATAGGCTCATCTTAGATCCCATATTTGTTTTGTTATCCTATAAAATTTGCATTAGGTTTATATGGGCTCTTTGTTCACTTATAAAAGTTGCAAGAGATTGTATCTAGTGAGATAGTTTGCGATTCAAAACAACAAGTAACAATACCAGAAATTAAGTCATATAACACTTAAGTCACAACATGACACGATTAGCTGAGGTTCATTAACTTACACTTAATAAGTTAATTATATAAACCCTTAGTTTTAATTCAAAAACATGGTACTTATATGGGAGGAGTTTTCCCCACCAGTTATGTGTCAATTTCCAAATTAAGTAAGATAAC